ACACACACACACACACACACACACACACACAATGAGGCCGCAGCACAAAACAATCTCCCAGACAGGCTCAGTGATACAAAAACACAGACAAAAAAAGGAAAGATGCCCATTATGCAAGGTTGGAGAGGGCTGTAGTAACTACTCATATACTCCTTTGTAAGGGAGAAACACAACATCATCTTTCACTCCATTAGAAGGACTGGCATCGCGCAAACAGAGACGTTATCCCCATCTCATCACACGAGGCTGCCGTGCGGTGAAATGGAGTGGCTGCTCGACGGATCCCGGCTCCCAGCCATTACGCCACCCCGGAGCGGGGAGCGATAATTGCAGTGGGAGAGCACAATCAGGCGCCGTGTTTGTCTCTGCTCTAATCTCCGTGCTCTGCCCGGCGCTCTTCACACACACGGCGCTGCAGTCTTTCATCTGCCTGCTCACTTTTTAGTTGTGATCAGTCAGAATTTGAGCTGGAGTTTTAGTGCTTTTAAGGATAAACGTGAGGCTCCCCAACCTGAAACACAGCTGACCCCGGACTAACGGCATCCGTTACGGCGAGCGGTTCGACCGAGTTGGCGCTTAATTCCCTTCTGACAAAATGCCAGAGCAATCTTTGCACCTGGTGCCAGATTGTGCACCGCCCTCGCCGCCCGGCCGTGATTTTTCAGGCTAGATGAGCGTCCAGGCGGCGAGACATTCGAGTCGGCGCAGAGACGATCAACAACACGCAGCACGCTCAAATTCCTTCGAGTTTACATTCCCCCCATGACCCAAATACTTTGCCTTTGTTGTGGTGGTTATAAACCAGGCTATTGGAAGCAAATGTGGGTTTATAAGTGGCTCCGAAACAAAAAGCCAGAGTTCAGTGCATGAGGGCGAGAGCCGCAAAATGCTGGCTGAGCAGGATTACTGCCGTCGTTCACATGGTTTCACTACAGTACAGCGCTTGTTTGGATCGAGTGCAACACTGCTTTCAGGAAAAGCAAACAGACAGTAAAACTTCTTTTTGTCCTTGGAAATTCGCTCTCTTCTCCTCGTTTTGCTCCCAGACCCACTTTTGTCCATTTAACAGATACAGCTGGAGGCCTGTGCCTGGTTTCTTGCCTTTTTGAAGCGACAGAGAGAAAGCGAGCCCTTGGAACGAAGATAAAATATGCTATTTAAGGCACAGTTGTCCAGGCTATGGAGATAAGAGCATGAAGTTTTACATTCATTAAAAAGAAGGCTGGAAAAAGAAATATACTTTGGACAAAGTTGCCAAGCGAATTTCGATGTTACAGTAAACACAAACACAAACAAAGGAAAAAGAAAAATGTTCACGATCGTCGTCTCAAAAAAAGAAGAAATGCTTCGTGATGAGTCGAGGTAAACGAGCCTAACGCCGAGGCAGAGGTCAGAGGTTGCCTTCGTCGAGCATCTTATTGATCCCGTTACAGATCCTCTGCAGGTGGCCGCGATAAACCTCCGAGGGCCCGTACAGAGTCGCCAGGAAGTCACAGTCGGCAAAGTGATTGAAGACGTGGTTGACTCGCGAGTGGCTCTTGGCTGTCAGGTGGCGCTTGATGGCCTGGTGCAGCAGGTCGCGGCAATCATTCAAGATGGCGCTCATGACGCGCCGGTCAAAGGTGAACTCGATCTGGTGGAAACTGACCGCCGTCATGGCCAGAGTGTGGACCTTCTTCCTGCGAGGAGACAAGAGAGAGGAGACGCTGTCACTTTCTAATTCTGACCAGAGCAGCAGAAGTAAAAATAGAAAGTGCTGCCGCAGGAATTTCTCCAGAAAACTTTCACAACCCCCATATATTAGTTATAGTATTGTCCTGTGCAAAGCTCACATCTCCATGCTAATATAATAACCCGTCTCTGCACTGAGCGCTTGTGTCAGCTTTGCGTCCCTCCGAGCTCGGTTTTACTGGAAACACATAAACTGATGGAAATGTCCATTCCCTTAATTTGCTTCCATCAGCACACAGAAACATCCTTTAACTGCACTTCTCCCCAGAATCACATCTTCAGTGTTTCACAAGGCTTCCAGCCTCCTGACCAACAATATAACACGACTTGTACTTCGCTCAGACACAGTCGAGTAACCGATCGTTTATTGCAGCGATGAGGACTCTGCTGTAAGAGCCGCATCGCTTCATAAGAAAGAAAAAGAAATCAAAGGTAAAATGTAGCATCGCTGTTAAAGAACCAGCAGGTTGATAAACTTCTGATTTTGTACAGATATTATTCCAGCAGGTTCGTCTCTGACAAAACATAAAATGACCTTCACATACTGTCTGTGTCCAGAACAGAGGACGTCCCCATTCATGTCCTTTAAAGAAATATAACTGGTGCTCATCTGTAGCATACGTAGTTGGTGCATCAACAGATGATGATCCCTAACATGCTTATATACATACAAACGTATGTTCCGCACTATAAGTGCACTTAAAATGCTTTAATTTTCTCAAAAATCTACAGTGCGCCTTATGTATGAATTCTGTTGTGCTTACTGACCTCACACCTGAGCCTCAACTCTCGCGGCCCGGTACCAAACGACTCACGGACCGGTACCGGTCCGAGGCCCGGGGGTTGGGGACCGCTGTGCTACATGATCGCTAGCGACACAGCTATGTTAGCATAATAAACACAGTGAAGCTGGAGGATGAACGCTAACTTTTTTCCACTCGATAAAAGTTAACGTGAGGGTTCCTGATGGTTAGGGACAAATGCAATCGCATGGCAGGATGCTGTAAACGGACCAAACTTCAGTCAGGAGAACAACTGAGATAATCCATCCACAATACGAGGTTAGTCATTAATATACTGCAACAACATGGGAATAGAGCAGCTGCGAGAGAATTCAACATTAATGAATCAATGGTACAGAAGTGGAGGAAGCGCAGTTTTTGGCTTTCCCCATATTCAAAAGTGCTTCGTCTCTTTGCTATTACTGTCGCCCGGCATAATTTGCAGATGATGTTTGCAGCCGCTGCAATGCTTTCGACCAAAACAGGCGCAGCTTGATGACACCATCAACATGCGCTATCGCGATAGAGCGGTACAGTCAAAATCTCTACCGTTGGCTAAATTCATAGTTTCTACCGTATACTGTTTATACCACCCACCCCTACAACAGAGGACGATCCCCATTCATGTCCTTTAGATAAATATAACTGGTGCTCATCTGTAGCATACGTAGTTGGTACATCAGCCAACATGGACCCTAACATGCTCACATACCAGGAAACTATAACATGGCTTTGAAGGAGAAGCAGCAAAGTTGGGCTTCGGTCTAAACTGCCTCGTGTAGACACGAGAGCGATAAATGACGGTCGTCACCTGAAGTTCTCCACCAGGATCAGCTCCTCACTGTTGAACTGGTTGTTTCTGTAAAGCACTCCCAGCTTCACCACCATCTTGATCAAGTTCTTGATGATCTTCTGGGACTCTTTGCGGTTGCGGGTGTACTCCTTGGTGACGCGGTACAGCTCGTCCAGCACTTCGCTGCTGGTGTCGTCGATGAAGAGGCTGGCCACGCTCTTGGTAGCCATCTTGCTCATCAGCTTCTTCTGCGCCTGCAGGGCCAGGCTCTTGGTGCTGAAGGAGTCCATGGTCAAGTCTGGGTCGAGAAGAGACAGAGAGAACATGCTATCAAGCCACAGTCTTATCGATAAACCCCATCAACGTGAAAACATCTTGAAAGTTTTCTAAAATTGTCACAAATTGAGAAATAAAACAAGAACCGTTTCTTAGATGTCCTCTTTGACCTTCTCATATCAAAAGCAAAATGAGCCAAGAATACCACACTACCAACACACAATGTGTGAAGATATAGCATCGTCGAATTCTGTTTAAACTGCGGGGCCGAGAACTGTCCGCTTTATCAGATAATGAGCCGTGGCAGCTGTCAAATTAGTCCCAGCAACCCTCTGGCTCGGTGCCTGCAAGGTAGTTAGAGAAGAATGTGTCATTACGCGTGTGGGAGTAAAGTCAGTTACATCCCGACCACGCAAAGCAGGCAAAGTAATCCGAACGTCTCATCAGCTGGATGCACTGACGAAACAAGGCGAGCAGGAGGCAGACAGAGCCCACTCTGCACATGTGTGGATTTATTTATGCATGTCGTTTCTGAGTGTGTGTTTGTGTGGCAAGTGGGGTGACTCAGTGAAAGGCTGCGCCCGTGATAGAGGCTCATAAGGAGGGGGGGGTCATCGGGTCTGCCGGCTTTCAGAGCCTCGCTGAGGGGAGCGAGCGAGAGCGCAGCACGCCGTATCGTTTCAGCGGCCTTCTGCAGGTCACTTCTTTAGGCTTGAACAGTCTCCTTTTAAAGCAATAAAAATCTATTTTCCTGAGCACTCCCTCTCTAACTTTCGCAGATCTCCAAGGATAACCTCAGAGCGCACGAGCGTAAACAGGCACCGCAGTCATTTTCCACGCCTGCCTTATAATGCAGGGGGAAGAATGAGGGTGAAGGAAGGGGCATCTGTGTTACGAGTTTCATTTTGTTCGGACATGTTCAACCTTTTTAGAGGTTCGCACTCTCAGAAATATACAGAAAGGAACTCTAAATGAAACTGAATACGGTGTTTGGCTTTACTAAAACAGTAAACAGACGTAATCGTTGCAATCTGAGCTTCTCTCTCTACTTTAGGTCTCATCATGCCTGCATGCTGAGTGCGTTTGAGCCTCTCTTTGAAACCGTTGGCCCTCATTGTGTTTATAAAGTGAGTATAAGTGATGGTGAGATGTACGAGCGCAGTGCAGAGTGTCCACTCAGTGCCTCAAAAACCCAAAGAAGCGTTTTATTCAAGTTACTGACCTATTTTATGGACACTAATTTAATTTCAGCACAGTGTGAGAGTCTGCTGCAGTTTCTCTCCTCTGCTCGCCGTTTCACTGGGACTCGTGATGGAGGGGTCGGGCGGACGCCGCATCATGTAACATATTAACGAATCCACAAGGAAGAAGTGGGACAATGGCAGGAATTTATTTCTAAGTCTAAACCTTCATATAATAAAGATCCAGACCAGGGTTTGATATTTTTTTAGCCACTCGAAACAATAACATTACTCAGTTGCTTTTGGAGTTTAGATACCAGACATGACACGTGCTGGGCTCAGCGCTGGCTTCACTGCATCATGTCAGTGGTCTCTGCAGTTTAATAGATCGTTAGGGCTACTGGGAAGAAACTGCAGCAGATCTAAGCCGTATTTACAAACACAGAGCTACAGACTGTTAAAATGCACACCTGACGTGAATCTGAAGGGAAACCTGCCAAGAAAGAGTTTCCTCCTGTGGACTTGGTCCAAACTCCAGTGTACAGTATGCTGTGTAGCAGAGATGCACGTGTCATTGTTTCCTCCGCCTGGTGGCTGGGCAGGAAGTGGTCACAGCGTGCAGTTAAAACGTGTCAATCTTTGCACGCTCAGATTAGGAGCTCTTGCAGGCGCTGTGGTCACAGTGGCGTCGTAATGTGTTTGCACCTTTGGACTGAAATCTCTCACCTACTGTTGGATGGATTTCTATGAAATTTAAACTAAATGCTCAAAATTCCTGGAGGTTCTTTAAAAATGTGTCTTTTTGGGAATATTCATAAAAATATGGTACAAATATTGCTGGTCCCTAAAAGATGAGTGCACAGCATTTCACAATCTAATACAGCACCGCCATCTGTACTCATTAGCAGACGTCGCGTTTTCCTACATCATTATGAACATATAGCCAAACTATTAGTCTTTAGATTTTCTGCCTCATAAATGTTTAATATTACTTAAATCTAAAGGCACCGATTTATTTTCAGTGTTTACTGCCGAGTATGTGCCGTGAAAACATGCAAAGAGTCTCCTTTGCTGCAGTTTGGCTGCAATTTATTTCCTAATAATTATGTAAAATTATTCTGCCGTAAACAGAGCTCTGTAAACAAACACACAGGCGCCTCGGTTTTACATAAATAAATATTCTGATATACAGACAGGTGACAAACTAAACCAATAATGTGAAGCGTCACCTACACAGGGACTGAAAACAGATATGAAATTGTTCTGAGCGATCACCTTCATCCTGATGAGTCACGGTACAGCACGAGGGGAGTCGGTGAACAGCTTGATGAGTATGAAGACGATGTTGGTCATATGCTTGGCCTTTGCAGTCGCTAGATGTCAACAAAATTGAACATGTCTGGAAGATTTTGGCCCGACGTGTTAGACGGCGGTTCGGCGACCCCGTCGTCAAAACACCAAATGACAGAATATGTTTCAGAAAAGAGCCGAGCTGTAAATGAAGCTGCAGCGGTGTCCTGACACGTTAATGACACACTTTCAATTTAACGTAAATCACCCAACAAAGATTTATCCTGTACCGTCATCTAAGCTGTAGATATGCCAAAACCCAACCACAAACCCTCACATAACTACACCCGAGCGACTGACTGGGTTTCTCCTGCAGACGTTTTTTTGAATGGTCAGGAGAGGATGGAGCGACTCAAAGGCGGAAATCCCACCTTCACGCACGAGAGTAACGGTGCCAACAGCGTTTGCCACTGACGTAGGATCAGCCTGAGGCAACGTTTCAGTGCAGATGTACGAATCAAGCTGAGCTTGAGACTGAAACCTCAGCACATTCTGCTACTGAAAAGTGTCCAAAACAAAAAGCACCAAACGTTGGCACTCCACTTTTGGCTCCTTTTTACTTTTAGTTTAAACTTTAATACTTTAAATCTAAAATAAGACAAATCATTTGTCTCAAGAAAAACTGAAGCTAAAATCTTTTTGGAATATAATAATATCTTGGATTGTGAAGACTGCTCTAGTCTGATAAAGACAAAGGTCAAGTGTCAAACTGACTTTTCTGGGACTAAAACAAACAAAAACAGCTAAATTTAGTTCCCATCAAACCACCTGAGAAACAGCTGATTAAAAATGCATCATAACCTTTGACCCCTGTGCTTGTAAAGCATGAAGGTAAAAATTCTGCATGGCTTCATTAAATATACTGAAAGCGAGCTGATTCTGAAAGACTGGTGCAGGAGGCAGCGACTGGTTTGTGTCCAGCTAAAACAAATCCAGGTCGTTTTTGTCGGCTGACTAATCGGCTAATAAACTTATTTTCGTCCGATTGTGTAAACTGATCGCACAGCAAAAAAAAAAATGACAATGACTCAGCCAAATGCGAGGATTAGTGGAAAACAATGCGCATAAAAATGAGGCAAACAGTCACACCCTGTATAAATCCTCTGACGAGCCACACGTCGCCGAACGCGTGGCTGCTGCACTGAAACAAATGTCCTGTTCGCATCATAAGTGATTACTCTTCACGCCATACGTCTCCACGTTAAAGAGGATTAACTGTAAACAAATACATGAATGGCAAATTGCCTCTCCGTAATAATCCGGATAACGTGCACACAAAGCGTGAGAGGTGCAATTAGTGCAGCCGACGCAGAGCGCTGACACATCCCTGCTGGGTGACTTGTGACGTTTGCCGTCGTTGGTACTGGAAGGTGGCGCATCTGCTGCCTGCTACAGTGTGTGACTTTCATTCCTCCCTTGCTCTCTCTCTGCAATGCCTCTCGAAGAATATCAATAAGACTCCTCGGAGAGAGTGTCAGCAGGATGCTTCCCAGAGAGGAGCGAGGAGAGGCAGAGCCGGGGTGGAGGTTTGTTGTACATCAACCCTGAAACATGCAGGAAATAACTGTGGGCGTTAGCACGAGGGGTCATTTATATACCGTCTCACGCCAAATCTAGTTTTCGCAGCGTCTTGTTGCAGGCGCTGGACATTTAATCGGGCCTCTCGCCGCGCTGATCAAGGATCACTGGCAGATCCCTATCGACCGCTTCGTAACTCTAAACTTGCCGTGCTACGCTTGTTACAGAAAATCCTGCTCTGATGCAACGCGTGTGAAACGGATAAGACGAGAAAGACACTAATGATCAGAGTGAGAGAAAAACCCAAACAAACAAAACCTGAACTTGGAATCTTTATTTCTATGCAAGTGACAACTGGAAGAAAAGAAACGTCACTTTGTCCTGTTGACACGAGTTAATCACAGAGGACGGCCTCCACAGGAGACGCACTTATCAGAACACGCGTCTGCATCAGCCTCCATCCTCTCTCTGCCTCCGCTGATGGATGTACGAGAGTTTCGAAAAGTGCAAATGGATAATGGGCAGACGCCATTTACAGGCTCAAGGGTGATTTCATGGCGCTCATTAAATTATACTTTTGCTGCAGATCTGAGGCGTCGTAGCTGTCGACTCTCCGAGGCCTGCCAACGAGCTGGAAGAGGAGGAAGGCAAGAAGTGGGGAAGGGTGGAGGGTTCGCCTGTCGTACAATTCAAATGTCTGGCTCTCAGCATTGTCTGCCTCTGGCTTCACTCGAGGCTTAAGAGTGACAAACAGACTCCTGACACTCTTATCTCGAGGACGGAAGGATATCCTCACTCCGGCTCTTAGTCCCCGCCCAAAGCTAAAGGTTTCGCGAAAACATGCTCTCAAGGGACAAGCGATGAAAAGGTTTTCGATTCAAATCCTATTTTTCTTCTGTGACTCTGCTGCACCAAAGCGCTTAGTGCCAAATCTAAATGGCCTGTGAAGCGCGGCGGCGTCCAGGGACAGCCA